GCCCCCGCCGTCACCAGGTGCTGATGTCAGCACGGGGTGACGCCACCATCTACCACGACGCGCCGGGCCTGGCCACCACCGCCCTCACGGCAGACGTCCAGACAAGCGGCACCGCCGGTGCGCACGCGCGCGTGCGCAGGCGGCCTCTCCCACGTCCGACCCGGACCCAGGGCACTCTTGGGCCCAGCAGGGCGCTCCCGGGCGGGCCCCCTCTCGCAGTCGCGCCCGCCTAGCCGATCGTTTCACTGCGGCTCCGGGCGGGCTCGTGCGCTGCGCAGCGGCCCCTTCCCCTCCCCTGGCTGCCGGGCCGCGGCACGCGCGGCCCCCGGACCCTCTCACCCCTCCACGCCGCATTCTGGACACCACCACATCCGCCGTTCCTCCTCCCCCCACCCTGCCTTGGATCGCACACCCCCAACCCGTCCTGCTGAATGCACCACATCTTTACCCGGCCCCCGACCCTCCTCCCCCAGGCACCCCGGACCTGCTCGTCTCTCTCCGCGCCGACACCCAGCGCCGCGGCTTCCCCCTCCGCCACAACACCCCCACCGCCGGCATACTGCTCTCGCGCCTCGCGCGGCGGGGGCGCCTGGACCGAGGCCCGGCGGCGGTGGGGCTGCGGCTGCAGGACAGCCTCAGTTTTGGGCACGGGCCGCGGGGGCAGCCGGTGGATCTGGACGTGGCCGTCGCGCGGGTGGGTGGCGGTACAGAAACCCCCGCTCGGCGGTTTTATGAGCCTCCGTTTCGCGCTGCGTAGCTTCCGCCGGCGGCGGCGGCGGGACGCTTGGGCGGGGCTCTGCGTGCGCACCCCGGCGCTGGTCCGAGCAGCGTGTTTCGTGGGTGTGGGGTGCGCTCGCAGGATGATCTCACTTTGAGTTTTTGTCGGCAGACCGCGCGCCTCCCCGGCTTCCGACTGATTTTGCCCCGACCAACTCCCCCCCCCTAGATGCTCACCCGCAGCGACGCCGGCGGCGCCGCCGCGGCCGCCGCGCTCGTCGGCGGCGACGTCCCCGCGCCCGACGACGACTTCGGCGGCTGGCGCTCCCTGTGGGGGGCCAACGCAGAGCTGCGCACCGACGCGCGCCGCGTGCTGCGCTGCCGCCGCGTGGCCCCGCTCAGCGTCAGCGGCAGCGCCGTGGTCGACGAGTCGGGGGAGCTCGTGGCCGCGGTGGCTGCCGGGTTACGCGTCGTCACCGGGCCGCGGACGGGGGTCGGGGCGAAGGTGCAGGTGAACAGCCGAGGTTACTGCAACGCGAGCCTCCAGATCAGATCGCACACGAGCACGAGGTTGGGGCTGCTGGGGCTGTACCCCCTGGGGACGCTGCTGTGGGACATGGCCGGCGCGGGGCTCGAGCGGCGGCGCGCGCGGCGGCGGGCGGAGCGGCAGCGGCGGCAGCAGGCGCGGAAGGAGCAGCAGCGGGCGCTGGGCGACGGCGGCGGCGGCGATGGCGGCGGCGGCGGCGAGCGCGTCTGAGATCGTCCATGCTTAGAGTAGCAAAATTTCTGGGGTGTCTCATCTCAGGGGACCCCTTGGCACTCCGCAGCTGCCTCTTTGCACCAAAATCACACCTCAACCGCGGGAATGCGCCGGCCGCACTTTGCTGTTTTTTCATGTTCAAACCCCCAGCCTTCCGCCTTGCCCCCGGCCGGCTGCCACCCAACAAAACGGGCAGCCGAGCGGGCGCCGGGCCGCTGCGAAAGGCCTGCAGCCCCCGCTCGCCGCGGGCATCCCCCCAGCCGCCCGCGCGCGTGCGATTGAGCGCACGGGTGTGGGGTGCCGTTTTGGACGGCAGAGCTCGGTCTTTGCTCAGTTTTGCAGCCGGGTATCGGCCGCGTTGCCCCCTGGGCCCTGCCGTGTAAGTCAGGCGAGCAGCCCCCTCTCCTTCGACGCAGTCCGCCGGGCCTCTGCCGCGCGGCGTTCGCGGACTGCATCCAGTCCGGACTGCCTCAACGCGCAGCTCCTCCCGATGCAAGGAGTGGCAGCTTGAGCAGCGCAGCGAAAGCCAAACGCCCGCTGTTGCGGGAGTCGTGGGATGATCACGTGCATGGGGCCGACCCCGCGCCTGGCTTTGCACGTGAGGCTGCTTGTACGTGCAAGCGTCAGGATGGGCCTGATGCTAGTGAGCTGCCGCTTCATGTCCCCCCTCCCCCTAAAAACATGTGTCACGGTCTCGAAACTGAGGCAGGGCAGCTCGATGCCCACAACCTGGGGTCCTGCACATGCGCAAGACTGCCGACGATCAAATGCAGGCGTCTGCCACCGCAGTTGACCAGATCTGTGACACGTGGCAATCACAACCATGTGTAGCTGCCTATAGTTTGACCGGTCCACAACCGCCCCATGCGCGCCCGTGGCAAGCCCAGCACAGCGCCACCTTGCGACACGTCCTTGTCGCTACACGCCGCGGGCGTCGCGCCGTGACGCCGCGCAGCGCACACCTCAGCGCAGCGAGGCGTCGCCGCCGCCGCTGAGCGGCGCATGAGGTGCGGCGGTCGGGCGGGGCGTCGCGCTGCTCTGCGGCCCCCGTGTGTGGAAATTTCGCATGGCAAGCAAAATTATCGCGGCAGTACTTAGTGGTTTGGCGTGAGGTGGGATGTCCCCCGCCCAATTACTCACCGCTCACCCGCCGGAGTGCCGCCATATGTTTGTGCGCGCGCACTGCAGGCACCAGAACACTTCAGATCCAACACCACGCATCCAGCCTCCGACGCATATCGCAGCTCGCCTACCCGCGGCCTATGCAGCACCGGTCATGACGAGCACGAGGCGCAGCATAGAGTTGATAAACAGCCGCTCAGCACCTCCAGGTGACCGTGCCCTCGATCGCAGACGCGAGAGCTCGGCGGATCGCCAAGTGGACCCGTGTGTGGAGAAGCTCGTTGAGGCCGCCGTCAAGGAATACATATCTAGCATCCGTCTTCGCGAGATCCACCCGCGGACAGCCCTGCAGAGTGTCGCCAACCTGCTGGTGGCGGAGCTCAGTGCGGATCAGGTGTGCTGGGCCAGCAGGACAGCTCAGGATGGACTTCTAGAGCTTTTCGAGTGTGATGCAGCACGAATGGACGGCGCGGGACGGCCACCCGGCTTGCGGCGATCCAGCAGGCCGTTTTGGCGCAATTTTGCCGCGCTTGAACGGCTGCGATCCGAGCCATCCAACCGCCACTTTCTTACCCCCGCGGCGGGCACCACCCCTTTTCCCCCTTGCCCATCACGCAGTTTGACGCCGTCTGGGACCGCTTTGCGTCCTACCCTGACAGCCCCGTGCTGCGGCTGCTGCTGAACACGCTCAGCGACGCTGTCAGCCGCGCAGGGCCAGACCGCTGCTTCCTCGGTCGCTGTAGCGGGGCCAGCGGCGGCGCTCCGGGCGTGACCGCGTTTGAGACACGGGGGCAGGTCAAGCCGTGGGTGAGGCAGCAACCGCAGCAGCAGCAGCAGCAGCAGCAGCAGCAGCAGTGTCAGCCGCCGCAGCCGCAGCAGCAAGAGTCGCTGCTTCGGCAGGCGCAGCTGCAAGTGCTGCAGCAGCGGCAAGCACACCAGACGCCACAGCAGCAGGAGCAGCAGCAGCAGCAGCAGCAGCAGCACCGGGCAAAGGTGACGAGCGAGCGCCCCGCCCCTGAGCGCGTCGCGGCAAAGCGGCAGCGCCCAACGATCGGCGGCGGCAGCGACCAGGCGCCGAGGGGCGGGCCCGCGCCGGGCAAGGCGCAGGGCGCGCAGCCGCGCCGCAGGTCGCTGCTCGACCACGCTCAGCGGGACCAGGCCGCGTGGCCGGCGGTGGCACACTGAGCACAGCCGGCCGATCTGTGTTCGTCTCTGGGCCCCCTCCTCTTGTCAAGCCCTAGCCAGCATAGCTCGGGACACATCAGCTTAGCAATACCAGTAGTGAAAGCAGAAATCTAGACGAGGACGTCTGCAGTGCAGGGCCATGGAGGCAGACCAGCAGCAAGAGCAGGGCAGCGGCGGCGCGCGCGGCGTGGCGCCGCCGGACAATATGGAGCCTGCGCGCGACTGGTTCTCGGGCCCCTGCATCATGGGCATAGGTGGGGCGGGGGAGCGGGTGCAGGGACGGGCCTGCCCGCGCATGCGTGTGCGGGGGCCGCAGAGCGCTGCTCGACTGCTTTGAACCCGCGCTGCGTTATACCTCAAATGCTGGACTGTGCTACAGAGGCTGGTTGCCGCTTGTGGTTCTTGCTGCTCGACGACAATGGACCGCGCCCCTGCGGCCCCTGCTCCTCGCCCGCAGACGAGGCCGGCCGCGGCCCGGTGCTGGGCCCGATGGTGTATGCGTGCGTGGTGGCCAGCGTCTCATACAAGGCAGACCTCGCCACAAAGTGAGGGCTGCCCTGGGTCTGGTGTTGCTGCGCGGCGTGCCTGCTCGTTTTGGGTGAATGTGAATGTGTGATGTGGATGGGGTGCGTGCATGTTTGCGTGTTTTGTAAAAAACAGTGTGTGTGTGTGCGTGCATGTGTATGCACGTGCGTGTGTGTATATGTGTGATGAAAAGTGTGTGCACGCGGGTGCCAAGCGCTTGATTGCTCTGCGGCGCCGCCCGCGCCTCCGCCAGCCGCGCCCGGGCAGCACCAGCCTCCGAATGCCGCGACCGCCAACCGCCGCCAACCGCCGCTAACTGCTTGCCGCCAGGGCTTACGCAGACTCCAAGACGCTGACAGAGGCCCAAAGGGAGGCGCTCTTCGGCCAGGTGGGCACGCGCGCGCATGTTGCGCGGCGTTGGAACCCCTGTTCCTCCCGCCCCCTGTCACAAACAACTTGAAGCCTCTCTTGAGATTTAATTCGATGTTGTTTTGACAACAACAACGACACAAAAGGTGAACAACATCATCATCAAAACCACGCCCGTACCGCCCGGCGGTTGCAGGTGGTCAATGACCCCCAGCTGGCGTACCGCCACGACACACTCAGCGCGGCCCTGATCTCGGCGCAGATGCTCGGCAGGTGCCCGGCTTGATTGGACGCGAGCTTTCGCGCGCGGTGTGTGCGTGTCGACCGCGCCCCGCTCTGGGTCTGTCGTGTGTAGAGCATTTCAGGGGCGCTCGTAGGCTTGTGGAGTGCGGCGGCGCATGCCACTCGCGCGTGCGGCGCACACACACAGTGAACACACACACACACACACACACACACACACACACACACACACACACACACACACACACACACACACACACACACACACACA